AGAGCAGAAAAATGGGATAATATGTGAAAAAATAGAATTGTGAAAAAACAGCCGATGCAGGTAAGAAAATGCTAGACGATGTGTGCTTCCGCCGAAAAACCTGACAAAAAACACAGCTTTAGGGTGTAGCAAGGCTTACATACGTTTCTGGATATTGTTCAGGAAATGTCCAGGTACTATAATATGTAATAAACCCAATTTACAAAATTTGACCCCCAAACACGATTTCTAGGTGCCCCACCAGCCCTAAAACAGACTAAAACATTCGTAGCGCCCTCTACCATGTACAGTCAGACAGGCAGAGCAGAGCAGGGAAAATTACTACAAAGACAAAGAGGTGACTGGTAGTCTAACCCGCCTCGAATCGCACCGCCAGTCACCTTTATCTTTGTATTAATTGGTCGCTTTTAAGCACAAGAGGGCTATCCCGAAAAATGCTGTTATGAGAAAATCGAAGGTAAAGTTTTTGCCCCTTGTTCAGTTTCTTTAAAAGACAAGGATAGTTTTCTTTATAACAAAACAAATATACACACCAATGAAACCAAACTTCTCCTATAGGTAGGGCAATGCCCATTTTTAGTGTAAGTCAAGATTTCTGGAAACCCTCGAAATCTGGGTTAGCCCGCTTGTCCTTAAAAGCCACCAATTTCCACTGCTCAGCTCTGCCCTGCCCGCTCTGCTTGCAGTGTGGCCACAACCTTATGCACACGACTGCGAAGTGACTAACTGCAACACCACAGGCGCCGGTCGTCTCTATTGCTTAGAAAACACAAACTTGTAGCAATGTGAATCTTTCTTTCTTTCTTCAGAGTAAAGAAAGAAAAGCACATCGACACAGTAGTGGTCATTTAGCCGTGGGGAAAAGTAAGACAGACAGACAGAAACAACAGAGGGGAAGTTAAAAAGTAGGACCTACCAGTGGCGCCCTCCAACCACTAGCCCATTGTGACGTGAATGGAAGAGACTCAGCATCAATAACAAATAAAACAAAAATCACTTTTTAAAGAAGGGAAAGAAAAAATAAACACATTCCATCCTTCCCCTTCAAGAAAAAAGCACTGACTCTACAAATTTATGATCCGTACATTTTCGGGAACCATTTAGATTCTAGGTTCGTTAATACTTACACTTGTTTAAACAACATGACTGGCTACATTTTATTGCAGTAAATATCTGTACAGATACACTGAAATATTATTGTTAGTTACTGACCCTATAAGAGAAACGCAATCGAAATCAAAATGAACTTACGACTTCAGCTTCTCTGTGAGATAAAGGTTGTTTTTTTCAGGACTGATTAGTCTCAACACTTTGCAATAGTCGCTGGGTTGGAAAGTGGAGCGTATGTTTGAACGCTCGGAAGCAGCTGCGATGCTCCATACGCTCAATGTTCAGAACAACAATATCTAGCTCCACACTTTATGAGTAGCGCAGTCCTTCAATGCTTTATACAAGACACTTTAAAATCCAGACCACGTCGCAGGTGGCTCCAGAGAACATGTCACGACAGACTCGTTTGAGAGGAAGTTCTTTTATTTATCAGGCTTCCTCTCAGAATTTCCGGGGCCTAATTGAATAATTATACCCAATGGCACAGCAAGAAATCGAGGGCTAGTCCCAAGACTATCTACTGACGTCCTTGAAACGGAAGTCAACACCTCTCGCGCTTTACTTAATCCGCACAATACTGCATATATCCACGACTGGTACCGCTGATCCTCCCACGCAACGGAACGCACGAATCTGAATGACCAGATTTATTTTGAGCTTTGTCTATTAAGCCAAGACAACGAGTGACGTCAAACGGAGTGTCGGGTAACTTGCTATTTAAGTAATTCCTTACAACAACACGATGTGGAGGCACAGCGGTGGAAGCAATGGCCAAGACGTCTGAGTGATAGTCACGATCGAGTCGTTCGTGCGATTTGTTGGGTAGGCCTCTAAAGTAGGGTGGACACCTGACCGATTGTGCAAAATTTGTATGATGATCATTAATTTACGTTATCTCAAGACCTTTTCAGTCCTGAAAAGCCCTTCCTGCTTTTTGTCTTGTTTCTTAGTAATATCATAATATATTATTATTATTATTATTATTATTATTATTATTATTATTATTATTATTATTTCCATGGCCTGCTGGGCGTTGGGCAAGGCGAGACTTGTGTGAAATAACGCGATATAAATACATTCCGTCCGAAAAAAGTGGAAACAATCATAATTTATTGGGAATTTTTAAGCATCACAATAATTGTGACTTCTTTTCAATCACATTATGAATGCCCCATCGCACTAATATATATATGGACATGATAAAAATTACCACAAAAATGTTAGATGGTACCAACCAGCCGGTCCTCTGCATATTATAGAGAACACTTTGATCTTAACCCTATCCGTACGTCGTGTTTTACTATCGTATCCATACGACGTAGGGAACCCTGTGCCACCACTTTCAAAGAGGACATTTACTCGTTAATCCGATCCGTACGCTTTGCATAGCAGTTTGTCAAAATGATATTTTTGAGAAATACTGAAAGTTTCACAGATATCTTCGTACTAGAAGAATTCTAAAATGTGAAGAATACAACCCCGGGGGTACAAAATGACCCAAGGGCGTACGGATAGGGCTAATGAATTGTCTTTGATACGTACGCAATGGCTGGTCTTGTCGCCTGCACATAATAATATATCCGATAAAGCGTTCACGACAAGGCGGACAGCAGTGTAACCAGAGAGCTCTCTGGCGTAACTATCTACCACACTGACTGTACCCGGAGTCGCAGCGAGGAGCGAAAAAGACGACAGGGGCGTGGAATCGAGTTTGAGCCCTCGGCGTCGCTTGACTGACCCGTGGAGTGTTCCGTTTGTTTCCCCAACTCTGATCTGAGAAGACTTGTCGGCCGTACAGCATTGATTCAAGGCAGACTTTGGGACACTTTGAGGACTGTCGTCAGCTGGTTCGCTCCGCAGCTTAGAGGTTCTGAAATATGGTCGCTTTTAAGCACAAGGGAGCTGTCCCGAAAAATGCTGTTTTGAGAAAATCGAAGGTATTTTTTTTAACCTCTTTCAGTTTCTTTAACAGACAAGTAGACTTTTGTTTTCTCTATAACCAAACAAATATACACACCAATGAAACCAAACTTCTCCTATAGGTAGGGCAATGCCCACTTTGGTGCAGGTCAGGATTTCTGGAAACCCCCAAAATCTGGGTTAGCCCGCTTGTCCTTAAAGCGACCACATATGAGTTATGCAAGTGAACCCAATTACGGACGAGACTAATGTGGACTGCAGTCGTCTATAGGACTGTGAAATTGGTTGAATAAATAAATATGAGGATAAGAGAGTCACACTCGTGACACGGGAAAACATTACGAAGCAAAAAATAACCCGAAGACGTCATTGGCAATTACTGTTTCACACATGGAAAGACAACTGTTCTCGCAATGGAAGTCCGACATAAGTGACGTACGGCTTTGGAAAATATTTTGACATTAAAACCACGCAGAAACTCCCAAGTGTTGTTGCTTCTGAAGGAGTTCGCTAGCCAGGCAGGAAATAATATAATGGAAATACATCAGACTTCTCACATTTCATCGGCTGTGAGACAAAACACATTAAGGAAGCCGTTGCCCCCCCCCCCTCCCCCAAAACACCTCTACCCCTCTTACCCCTCCAAAAAGACTCCCAACAACAACAAAAAACAACAATAAAATAAAGTTTTAGTTTTAGTTTTAGTTTCCCTAAGTGTTTTACGGCACTTGCAACACAATAACGTCATATAAGTGACGAAGATTAGAGGTGCTACAAGAGAGTAACAAACAGAAAAAAGGAGGGGAGATAAAGACGATAGACGTATGATAGGAAAGAAGAAACAAATCACACCAGAACACCCGCCAACCACCCACGACAAAACAAGGAAACGCAAACAAGCAAATAAAATACAATTAGAAAATAATAAACATAAAAACGTTTAAAAAACCGAGTAAAATGACACTGAAAACGTGTCACGTCTTGTTCTATACAACCAGCGTAATTGCTTTATAAAGTAGGTCCAGGGGCTTCTCGTGGCTTGGAGGTTAAGGTGTTGCCTCTCATTCAAAGGTCCTGGGTTCGAATCCCGGTAGCGATTGTAACATTTTCTTCTCTAAAATTGTCTCCTTTCACCTCCCCTAGCAATGTTCTGTCGTCTGCTTTCGTCTCCTCTATCGGCTCCTACCCCCTCACCTCCTTTGCCCCCTCCTCTGGGCTCCTGACTCTTTCTGCAGTCTTTCCACTGCTACTCCTTGGCTCCTTCTTACTGCTGTCTTTCAGCCACATCCCTGATCTTCTGGTAGGAAAGATCTATACGTAGCCTTCTCGGACACGGGCGAAAAATCTCGGAGGGCTTGTGTGCGAGTTGCGCACGTTAAAGATCCCTTGGCGGTCTAAAATCGATAAGAGTAGACTTCAGCCTCCACCTGGGCAAAATTAAAAATTTCCTACCAACTGAAAAAGTTTAGTGTGTCCCGTGAGCTCATAGGACCTAAAGCAGTTACGAGCGCCGTAAAACACTAACAAAAAAAAGTAGATCCGATTAAACCTCTTTTTGGCATTATCCTGGAACTTACTCGAAAATCTGTAGAAATGTCTGCATGCTGTTGAGTAAAAACAGAATTCTTTTTCATACAAGAGAATAAATGTTTATGAGCTTTGGGATATACCAAGCACTGGGGTTAATTATCGAATGAACAATATCGTTTTCCTCTGTTCTCTCTTTCTCTGTCTCTGTCTCTGTCTCTCTGTCTCTGTCTCTGTCTCTGTCTGTCTGTCTGTCTGTCTGTCTGTCTCTCTCTCTCTCTCTC